AGAAGATCACTCACAGGTTATGTTTTCACCATTGGTGGTTGTGCTGTGAGTTGGAGAGCAACTTTGCAGTCTATTGTGGCTTGTTCCACTACTGATGCCGAGTATATGGCTATTTCTGAGGCATGCAAAGAAGCTATCTGGTTGAGAGGTTTGTACACTGAGCTTTGTGGAGATTCATCTTGCCCTACCATATTTTCTGATAGTCAAAGTGCCATATATCTTACAAAGAATCCAATGTATCATGAGAGGACAAAGCACATTGATGTCAGATTTCATTATATTCGAGATGTTGTTGCTGAAGGCAATTTGAAGGTATGCAAGATAAGTACTCATGATAATCCTGCTGATATGATGACAAAGCCAGTTCCTACCAATAAGTTTGAGCTTTGCTCAGGCTTAGTTGGTATTTCTCACTAGTCCTATGGGCTTTGACGCACAAGGTGTTTTTTGCTGATTTGGATGGAGTTATTCAGTTTCTTCGACTACTGGAGGGAATTTGGCTCAAGGTGGAGATTGTTAAATTGTGATCCAAATTCTAGTACTGAGTTGACTAGACGTAGTACAACCGGTGTGGGCGTTGCGTTGACGTCGACGCGTACGAGTACAACTCGTTTACTTGTCCTCCAAGGACTCTCATGTATTGCCCTCTTATATACCCCATGTAGTCGCACCTCAGACGGTCTGTCGTCTCGTGCTTGTAATACTCCTCCATCATAGTGATTGCGCCTTCGTGCGTCCGTGGTTTTCTCCCGCAAGGGTTTCCACGTTAAATCTCTGTGTCTCTCGTGTCTCGTTTTATCTCGTTATTATCTAACGAGGAGCCGACCGACAGCACGCGTTCGCACTGTCGCGTTAGCACAACCTCGTGGAGATCATATACTACTCCAGCCTCCAGGGATTTCGGCTCTCGCAAGCACTTCGTGCTGTGCAGCTGTGCGCGATGTTGCAGTGCGACAACTTCAAGTACCACTCCCGGGAGTACGCGGTGACGCCGCCACCCCTGCCGGCGGCGGACGACACGCTGCTCGCCTGCGTCGGCGGGGTATTGTACTGGATGAGCGACCCGCCACCAGGCTGTCGTATTCCTTCGTCCCGCACCAGCCGTTCTACCAGACAAGACGGAGGACAACAACATAAACACCAGAGCATGCGCGCAGCAACAGCGACCGGTGCCCATGTCCGAGCGGCCGGAGCCGCCGGACCTTGTCAACCCAATACGCGTGCCCCATGGCCAACCGGGTCTTCGCGCCCGCGTCGAGGTCAAACTTGGACATGGCAGCAACCACCGCCATGTTTCCTTCTCCAACAGCCAGATCTAGAAGGAAGGAGTGATGCCGGAGAAATATCAAATCCAAATACATGTGAGCGCTATGTCTCGCATTAAGCGAGACGGTAGCAACTCTCACTGAAGCATTTTCTCCCCTTGTGTTGTATTGGGCCGGCTCATTCATGCGCGCATAATCGTAAAAAGAGCAGAGGTAACTTGAGATGAAGGGATCGGTCCCTTGTCTCCAGGGAGATCGAACGCTGCGCTAGGCACTTGTTCAACATTTGATTAAAAATATTCAAACACTTGTTCAACATTTTTTCAAATGCTCGATTAACATTTTATATACATGATCAAATGTTTTCATCATTTATTTAATACACGGTGAACATTTTTTCTATACACATTTAACATTTCCCATATGCTTGACTAACATTTTTTAAATACTTGTTCAACATTTTTTTAAATGCTTGATTAACATCTTTATACACATGATCAACAAAATTCATCGTTTTTTAAAATAAGTGATCAACATATTTTATATACACGTTCAACATTGTTCGAACACTTATTCAATATTTTTTTTAATACTTGTCCAACATTTTTTAATACCTATTCAACATTCCAAATATACTTGTTCAACATTTTTCAAATATTTTTTCAATATTTTTCAAATGTTTTTTGTAGAGTGTTTCGCGTGTTATATATATATATATATATATATATATATATATATATATATATATATATGTATATATATATATAGATATACATATATATATATATATATATGGGTTTTTATCATTTATGCCACTAGTTGTGTCCCACCACTCAATTTTGCCATTAGAAGTTACAACTGCTCAAAAATGCCATCAATTCGTGAGATGCTTGCTCAAAATGCCATTAGATATTTCAAAAATGCCATCGTTCTGTTAGATGTTTGCTCAAAAATGCCATTAGACATTGTTATTTTTACGTCAAACCCGTTGACCATGTTCTATGACAAAAATAAGCCTATACACACATGTCAGTTCTCTCTATCTCACAATGATATGTGTGGCCCCACTTGTTAGGAGTAACCAAGAAAATAATTTTATAGGAAAATAAGAACGATGTTGGGATCAAGTGGGCCCCATACTTTATTGTAGTGAGATAGAGGGAGAGTTGGCATTTTGGTTCATAGGTATTTATGTCATTATAACATGGCAAAAGAGATTTGAGATCACAATAATGGTGTTTAGTGGCATTTTTTAGCATGTGTCTAATGAAGCGATGGCATTTTTAAGCAGTTGAAATTTCTAGTGGCAAAACTGAGTAGTGGGACACAACCGGTGGCATAACTGATAAAAACCCATATATATATATATATAGAGAGAGAGAGAGAGAGAATATTTTAACATATAAACAAAAGTAAAAAATAAAGCAAAAAAAAGAGCATTCCGCCTGCTGCGCGCGTGGGCCGGTCCATTTTGGTCGACTCGTTGAAGGGCGAGATGGACGCCAGTAAATAGGCACACTGCCAAGGAAAAAAGATACTACATACACCGAGGGACACAAAACTTACGCCGGATGATCAGTTTGGTTCATAAACCTAGTAGAGAATTACATATCTCTGTTGGATTGTCTATGTATAGACTATACACACAGCTGAGAGCGTACATTGCGTACAAATGAATAATGAATCAATCAATCAAGAAGCATGGTGCATAACGGATCCCGCCGCCTGACCGAGGAAGTGCAGGACTGCGAAAGCGGAGACCGGCACGCCGGCGAGCAGCATGGCGACTACGGCCGCAGCGACGCCAGGCCTGGTGCCCATGGCCAGCAGCTGCAGCGCTCCGGCGAGCACGGACACGTCGGAGACGTAGGCCGGGTAGTAGCGCTTCTCCCAGTCCGCCCACCCCGGCGGCGCCTCGTAGTTTGTCTCCGCCATCCGCGCCTCCCGGATCCTCCGCCGGAGCACCGCCATGCCCTCGTCCACCAGCGCGCCCCCGTAGTGGTGGTCCTGCCCGAAAGCGGCGCAGCGCCTCGTGCTCGGTCGCAGCGCCAGCAGACCGTGGCACGGCACCGCCTGCGGCCTCCTCGGTGGCAGCACCGGACCGCGGCGCGGCGGCGACCCGTAAAGCTGGCGCCCAGGCCCGGAGGATGCCGGCCGCACCGTCGCCGGTAAGGAGAGGGCGGACGACATCGATGGAATCGAATCGGCTGAAGAATGAGCCGAACGTGTGATCTGTCAGACAGGAAGATGAGACAGCAAGAAAGCGATGGAGGGAGGAGCAGGAATGAAGCAATGGAGGGAAGTGAATGCTGAATAATGGCGAGAGATGCAGCTCGATCGAGTGGGTGTCGTTGCGTCTTATAGGTAGTGGTAGAGAGAGCTCACGCGGTTTCATGGACGGTCATCCTTGGCGGGTTTTGGCCGGTGATTTGGAATCTCGTTGTTTAATTGTGGTTTGGATCCAGCTGACCATGGATGGAGCGGTAATCACCTAGCTAGCTCGTTTAGCAACAACACGACAACCACGAAGGACCATGGATTCCAACTAACACCTGCCTGCCTACCGTCTCTCAGTTTCATCGATTAAATGATCAATCATCGATGAGTTGAATCGCACTCCTACCAGAGCGCCAGGTAATTAAAAAGAGTATATATGTACATATATACTGTTTTCATATGAGTTGAACTGGTAGTGCCTCGGTAGCCTGGGCGGCGGGTTATTTATAAAGAAAAAAGTCCAAGCAACATGTTCTCTGGATGGGTATATGTAGTTAGTACTAAATTAATTTGTATGATCAACCACCCTTCAAAAAAGAAATTGTATGATCAACGACTATGGTTTTTCCACAACGAATTTCTGACTTTATTTATAGAGAGTGAGATTGGTTTATTTTCTCGTTATTGCTTTCTATTGGAAGGAACGCAGCTGACCGGACATGCTGAATACACCAACTTTTTTGCGTTGAACTGAATTATAAATTAGTCAACGAAGGAAACATGCGCAGATGATCATAATCATCGCATATGTCACCAACGTATAGTGCCGGTCGATCCCAGCACCTGGGGTCAAACTACTCTATCATTTTCCCTTCGTAGTTTATTTGTCTCTTCGTATTTTATGCCAAATATTAAACATAAATCTAACTAACAAAATTTTAATACATGTCACCAAAAAATATGTTGTTGGATTCGTTTTTTAACATAGTTTTCTACAATAATAATTTTGCTATGCATAACTTATGTTCTATTAATTAAAATCATGGTTAAAATATGACCCTAAATATGGTTGAGACTAACAAACCGGGATGGATGTACAATAGTACCTCGAATTTAATTAGATCATAGTTCCACCCGCAAAAAAAATAAAATTAGATCATAGTTCATCCAAGTATCGTACTAGTACAGTAGTACCTCGAATTTAATTAAATCATAATTCATCCAAGTATCCTACTAGAAAAGGCTAATTAGTTCATTCATCCATGTGCATTGGTCTCTGTATAACAAAAAAAAAAATATTGCAAGATGTTTCGTTGCACTATGCAAAATCAAAAACATCTTACATTTTGATACAGAGGGTGAGAGTATAATTCTTCTAGCTACCATAGGATAACACATCAGAGATGTCCATATACACCAACCTGTCTTTGAAGGTAATCCACGGTTTTCCAGTGATCAATGTCGCAGAGGGGAATACCTAATGTGTTCTCTGTTGGAAGGAACATGCTATGCATTCTTGATCGACTACTTGAATTCTTTTTTTCAGCCGACGAAGATATAATAAACACGTGCACATTAATTAATCGTCGCATACATCACGAGAACATGTGCTGGCCGCGGGTTTATCATTTTTCTTTCTCTGATTATCTGTCACCGTCTCAACGCCTAGCTACCTCGAGGCTCTTTTCTAGGTTATTTAATTGATTCATCCACGAATTAGTCCTAGGCCCAGAAAGAGCTCCCGGAAAGTCTACGGGCAAGCAGAGACGTCCATATCGACCAGCTGCTATCAATCGAATCATCCATTTGCAACTCTCATATCCACTTGAACACCTCTGACGATGATCGATCACATGTTGTGAGTAAGTGCGACGCGTTGTGTGAGTAATTCACGCGCCATTTAGCTGGACGGTGTCCACCCAATGTTACCTATAGAGAAAAATTCACTACAGGCCCTATTACTTGCACTGGCGTTAGCTTTAGTCCCTATGATTACAAATACCTAAAATACAGTTATTAAAGTTGCTCTAGAGGGTCATCTACGGTTCATTATATGGTTTGCTATACGTATTGGCTGACCTGGCCCGAGTCAACAGCCGCCAACTATGCGCTGACTGCCACATGTGCTAGGTTGGCTTGAATACGCGCTCGCAAGGTTTTTTTTTTTGCAAAGTTGCGTGCGTCACTCATCAACATCACCGTCAAGATCGACCCCACCGCCGAGAGCAGACCAGCGACCTGCAAGGACAGGATGTCGTTGGCGTACACTACTTACAATTACAAGGAGCAGTCGCTGTGCAAGACGTACTAGACGGCGGCGGTGTGCACGAGACGGCGGCAGGGAGCACCCGTGGTAAGAAGCGGCAGCAGCAGCAACGGACGGCGGGCTCCAGGCTCCTCCGGCTGCTGCTTTCCAAGCTCCTCCACGGCAAGGCGGCCAACCAGAAGCCCGCCGCCCTGCAGTGCTCCGAGTCCTTCAAGAGGGTCGCGCCGTCGCTGTTGCCTTGCTCCAAGCATCTCGACGCCGTAAAGCTAACCCACGCAGATGTCGTCGGCGACCAGAAGGAGACGGAGTATTCCGACTCCGAATACGACGACGAGAAGCAGCAGAGCCGTTTTGAAGCACTCCTGTCCACGGCCAGAGCAGGTTCTCCTGCGTGCAAGGCTCGCCCAAGAACGCAATGGTCATCGTCCGGGAGCTCCTGCTCCTCATGGAGATGGAGACAGCGTACACGCCTGCGCTGCGCACCCAGTTGTTCGCAAGTCTGAGGACCTCATCAATGACGCCAACGATCTTGCCGGCCACGACGGCGACGACGACTACTACTATCGCACGAGCCCTAAGAACATCCACGAGGAAGACGGGACCACGGCCGCCGGAAGCCCCTCCACGAGCGCCGCCTACTGGGCGACGCACCGAGCTGAGCTGGCCAGGGTGTCCGAGCTAGTCTCCTCAGAGGTACCGAGGTCGAGACTGGACGCCGCTAGCGTGCAGGCGGAGCGACGGGACATCAGCGCCGACATAGAGACCGCCTTGCTCGATGCTTTGGTGCTGGAGTTCGTCATGGATCTCGGTGGCTGCTAATCGATGGCGCCCAATCCGCCATTGTAGCGTGTAGGTGCAGGACAAAGAACAGAGCGGTGACCTCGGCCTTGCTCTGTTTTTGTTGAGTAGTTGCTCATAGGTCGGGACCTAGTACTCAGTGCCAAGTGGAGGCCTGTATCGCCCTCCCAAACGTCGGTTCCCTGCCCCATGCTACCACCTCGCTCGATGTCATGCGCCATGACCACCTTCCTGCCCCACGCCGCCGGCAGCGAGCACGAACGCTGCTACCTCCACATGTCGTTCCGCCGCCACACACAGCTTCGGCGAGCCCCACTCCTCCGCTCTTCCCAGCTCCCCACTCACCTCCGTCGCCTCCCCACAGTAGCGCTGCACGGTTTGGCTGTCGGAGGCGGTGACCCGAGCACTGCGTTGTAGCAAGGCAGAAGGAGGAAGAAAATCTTGATGTGGCATTGTCCAATGGCTTCTTGATGACACGCGGTTTCATAGGAGGTGACGTCGGCCTCGGGGCGCGTCGGACGGCGATCAGTTTGGCCGGGAGGCCGACGGACAGAGGTGACGAAGACGGCAAGGGCGTCGGCGTTATAGGTCGTCTTGCTCTAATTAAAACATCAGAGGAAGAAACGGGGACCCTGGCAAAGCTCTTTGACATGGTGGTGCACCATGGGATGATCTCCGGCCACGCTACGCAGGGCGACGTCCATGGCACGAGCTTGGCCACTCGACAGAAGGGGGGAAAGAGCATGTCAGTGGTCAACGCTGCCACTTTAAAATGCGGCGACACGTGTGTACTTGCCGGCGAGGGATCGGCCTCGCGCTGGAGAAGCGGAGGCTGGTGCGGCCCTGGTGGCTTTGGCGGTCATGGCCGAGGCGAGCGGGCGCCTCGAGCGGAGCTCGGCCAGGAGGAGGAGAGGGTGGAGGGGAAAAGGAGGAGGGGGAGGACGGTGCAGGTGGCGAGGCTCATCCGACCGGCGGCGGGAACCGCCGGGCGCGTCGTGAGGATCGCGTGCGAGCGTCTTTCGCGGGGACCGCTCGGGCTGCTGGGGCTGTGCGTTATGAGGACGAGACAGGGGTGGATCGGTCGGACCAGGGGGTGCGCTCGGTCCGACCAGGGGGGCAGATCTTTTAATAACTGGCAACTTTGCAAAAAGACCCTTGCGTGCGCGCGTATTCAAGCCAACTTAGCACATGTGGCAGTCAGTGCACAGTTGGCGTCTATTGACTCGGGCCAGGTCAGCGAATACGTATAGCAAACCATATAATGCCAGGCACAGAAAATCAGACAGATTGTGTCAAGATTCGTGCATATAGTATTGGACGGTGATGGATACGTGTGGTCGAGATGATCAACGCCCACACGTGTGGGCGTTAACATTTCCGAATAACTTTGATGACTGTATTTCTGGTATTTGTAACCACAAGGACTAAAGCTAACGCCAACGCAAGTTACATGCCCTGTAGTGAATTTTTCTCTTATACTCCCTCCGTTCCTAAATATAGGGTGTATAGTTTTTGGCACGGAAATTAAAGAATGCATATTGAGGGAACATTTCACAAGTTTTGGGCGAGATTACACCTGATTAATTGACATGAAAAAATAGAGGAGCTTGCCCTATATAAGGAAATGTAATCAAATCCCTTAAAAAATTATCCAAACGAGTGGTGTAACGCAATACACCTTATATTTCGGACTTTTTCTCAAAAATCTATACACCTTATATCAAGAAACGGAGGGAGTATATACCACAAGTATGTGGTATATGTATAGACGGTTTAAGGGGAAAACTTCCATTCACGGGATTCCTGAACACATGGGAGAAATGACACTTAATAGAGATGGGAATAAAAATTTTGATTTGCAGAGGAGATCCTCTGTAAATCCTATAACAAGGGAAGTGGCCTCAACTTCAATCACAAGTTCAACCTCAAGTTGAAGAAAGCCCAGCACACATGGAACATTGAAGTTGATGTCCATGACGTTGCTTCAAAAGCTGACTTCCACCAGAATATTCGCCACACACACCGTGGTGGCAGGAGAGATCACATACGCCATAGTGTTGTGCTGAGGCAACACGAACAGTTCCAGCTCACAGCACATGCGTCAATGAAGCTCTCCAAGAGGCATAGTTGTCTGTGGGCACATAAGTAAGTGATCATCATTGACATGTTGTGCAATCTTAAACTTTATGTCAAGGTAATTAATCTGGCATCTCATGTGCATAAGATATTAGCGGAATAGGATGGTAATGTTATCGTGCGGTGCACTTATTACTTGTTCAACAAACATGCCCTCAATATGTCCGAGAGTTCGCCACTGCAGTTGAGGAGATTGAGGATCATACCAACTGTCTACACGGCCTACGGTCTGGCGCACTGCATACCAGGGTTGACACATGCAAATTGTACCTATTGTCTCGAGGACTTGAGTTCTATCAGCAGTTTTACTAGATGGCCAAGTGTGATGCTTGCAACGCCGTGATGCTGCTACAACTTGCACTTGCACAAGTTTTTTCCAGTGAGTCAATGTAGCAACTGCCCACATTCACGGCCAACACACTCAAAGGTAAGCGCCCCCAATCGAGTTTCCGAAAAAAAAAATCTATAATACTAAATGCGTGCATGTTTTGATGTTGGCCTCTCCTTGTTGTTGCTCAACCATGGCCTCAAAAATATATTTGCTAAGACTTTAATTATGATCAGTAAAATGTAGATGTGATTTTTTTACAAACACGTGCATCTAATAACATGAAATGCTCCTCCTCTAGGATCCGCTGCTCTGGCAGCCTCACACACCACGAACCAAGAAATAAGTAAATATAATGGAAGAGGTACGTAGCGGTGAGAAATCCATTGTCCGCCGGTGCTTCTAGATTGGTGCGGGTGGCCCCGATGCAATTTCATTTCCACCTCTGTTTCTAGAATACAAAATCTATACAAACAGGAATGCGAGATGGATCCCCGCGCGAGAGAAATATCCACCCATCCATGGTGTTGTCCCTCTCCCACATCTAGCTCTCTTTCGTGGAGAGACACACTAGATCCGCATGGACGATTACTCCGGCGCAGACCACGGCGCCGAGCACTATCATTGACTCCTCCCCGGGATCTCTAGAGCTCTCCGGTGAAGGAAAATTGACATGCACCACCACCCCCAATCATATCCAGATAGTACGGAATTGTTCAAAAATTATAAGCACTTTTCATCAATTTTCTATCTGTCATGTAAAACATACGTAACCATCGTGGTTTGGGACATTTGTGGATTACGGTTTGTGGAACTTATTAAATGGCATGTGAAATTTATATTCGTGAAGATGATTTTGATTAAACTCATTTTGGTGATGTGTGGGACATATATGCACAATATATGTGAAACTCATTTGAGTGGTGTGTTGTTTGTGAAATTTGTGACTTGTGAATGCGTGATTCGGTGGAATCTGTGAAATTGATGAAAAATAACATAAAGTGATGCTTATGACATGTGGAATATGTGATTACAATTTGTGAAACTGAATGTGGTGGAATTTGTTTTGCAGTGTGTGAAAATGTTATGTCAATCTATGGAATTGGTTATTACAATTGGTGAAATTGGTATTTCAATCTATGAAATAGCTGAAATAACCTATTACAATTGGTGAAGTTGGTATTTCAATCTATGAAATATTTGAAATTACCAGTTTTGAAATCGTTTTTATTTTGGAATCTGTGAAATAATTTGAATTTGTGATCGTTCAAGCTGGACCTAACTTGGACATCCGGCTAAATTACCACCAGCCCTCCTCATGCCGGCTCATAGCGCATTAGGTTTCCCATGAGTTGCACGTACAAGCAGAGTGACGCGGGTCTGGTTCGTCTTCTAAATTCTAATAGGTTATTGATCTTCAACCCCAAAATGACACAAGGCAATCTTATGATGTAATGTAACTGGTGTCGTTATCACATTCCACAAAGCATTTGACTTCGGGTCCACTCTCTCGGTGGTGTTGTAAACTTCAGGCTTCAGTTCTAGAGCCGGGCAATCGCGTCCTTTCTAAAAAAAATGTTAGGTCGTTGAAGCCAGCAATTTGACAAGTTGTCTCGTTGACTTTTTTTGCATAGTAATATGTGTCTCATTCATATCAAAAAGGTCAAAGTACAAATCACGTAAGGACCAACATGACAAAACTGAAAAGATAGCAAAACATCTCTGAACTTGACACCAATTTCTGTCATTTACCTCCGACATCACCAGCCACCGAAAAAAAGATTGACGAATCACCTTCGCTCGTTGAAACCAGTGAAATAAGAAAAGAAAATACATATTACTCTGCGTTTATACTGCAGCTAAAACCAAAAGAATTACATATCTCCATTGCACTGTGTATCTAATTATCTACAGACACAGATAGCACACGCTGCCGGCGAATGAATGATAGTCAATCAAGAAACAAGGTGCAAAACGGATCCCGCCGCCTGCCCAAGGAGGTGCAGCGCGAAGACGGCGGACACCGGCACGCCGGCGAGCACCAGCGCGGCAACAGCAGCCGCGACGCCGGGCCTGGTATCCATGGCCAGCAACTGCAGAGCGCCGGCGAGCGTGGACACATCAGAGACGTACGCCCGATAGTAGCGCTTCTCCCAGGCCGCCCACCCCGGCGGCGCCTCGTAGTTGGTCTCGGCCATCCGCGCCTCCCGGATCCTCCGCCGGAGCACCGCCATGCCCTCGTCCACCAGCGCGCCCCCGTAGTGGTCCCGCCGGAAGGCACCGCAGCACACCGTCGCCACCGCCCGCGGCCTCCTCGGTCGGAGCAGCGGACCGTGGCAGGGCGGCGACCCGTGCAGCTGGCGCCCAAGTCCCGGGGCTGCTGGCCGCATCGTCGACTGCAATGAGACGGCGGACGACATCGATTTCACCGAACCTGCTAACGAATAAGCCGAGCGTGTGATCTCTTGAGTCAAGAAGATATGGTACTAGCTAGCAGTGCACAACAAGGAAGCGATGGAAGGAGGGGCAGGAAGCAATGGAAGATGCAGCTGGAGTGGGTTTGCTTCTTATCTTATAGGCACTGGCACCGGGGGTTCACGCGGTTGTATGGACGGCGGCTTCTTGCCGGTGATCTGATGTTGTTTATGTGGATTGGATTCCAACTAACACCTGCTTGCGCGCCTGTTGCCGCTTGGTCTCATCGATTAATTGATCAATCATCGCCCGGTTGAATGGTCTACTACGTAGCACAGTGCCAGTTGTGATTGATTAAAGAACGGAATAGCTATGGTGAACGTTCGCCGCCAGAGCCGTCGGACGGTGGCAGTTTTTTACAACTAGAACTCCCGCGATTTAAACAAACTGCCATGGCAGTTTTGCAATTTGCCATCTCCCACTGCAGAAACTGCCAGCCACGCCGTTCGCAAATGCCATCATGGTTGACGAACCAGCTCGATCGCTGGCTATATATTGGCGTGCATGAAGAAATTGTATATTTTGAGATGAGTTGAACCAGTAATGCATGCCTGGCCTGGGCGGCCGGTTTATTTATTATTAGAGAAAAAAGTGCAAGCAACAGGTTCTCTGGATGTTGGTATAGTATACAACATACTTCTCAATTTTTTATATGAAGCTCTGATCGACGATGTCTTTTTTGGATCGACGATGGTTCTTCATATTTGTTTTGTTATATATGTTGTTTTCTGTTGGAAGGAACGCCGCTGATCGACCCTTGAACATACACCAACTATTCAATGTTGATATCTAAATATTCTTCTTTTGGCTGACGAATAAAGAAAATAAACATGTGCGCATTGGTCATACGTCACAAACGTTTAGCGCCGGTCGAGCGCAGCACTTTGTTTTATCATATTAATATTTTCTCCGCTCTTTATCATTGGACAAGGTATAATCACTCAAAATCATTACAGTTGAGGTTAGGATAACAGATTGGTGCCGCTTTTGAGATAACTCACAGCGAACCACTATTTCTTAGGCTAATCAAAGCAATGATGACCGTCTGAGCTTGTGAAAACAGCGAATCCGCCAGGTATGGCCCACCTGTTGGGCTGATGTGACAGACCAAACACAAATACTTTGACCAGCTGAGGTGGCAAATAAGAGGTGTGTAATGACTGAATGTTTATCTTCTTCCAATTGGGCATTTTCTCAAGCAGCTTCCGGACGCGTGGCGGCAAGCCCGTGGGCGTTGCACGTGATCCTGCCGTCTAGCATGGGTTTTTTTCTTTTGAGAAATCTCGCTGTCTTTATTGATACATGACAATGTTCATAGGTACACGGTTTAGGTCATGAGAAGTGCCCAGCCAAACATGTCTACCTATATCTAGATTACAAGTAAACTTAGCAAGATTATGAGCCTTGAAATTAAAATTCCTCCGCTCAAACACAAAAGAGCAAGAAGTAAAACTATCTTTGCGGTTCGTTATTTCATGTATAACAGCCGCATTGGGACTAGCTGTCCCTTCATTGATGTCCTGCACCACACCTTGGCAATCTGATGCCACCCTGATATTCTGCTCATGGAGATCTTCAGCCAACGCTAAAGCCTCCCGACACGCGTATGTCTCCAAGATCATCGGGTCGCGTACGCCCCCATAGACCACCGCCGACGCGCCAAGATAGTTGCCGTTTAAGTCACGGCAGACTGCGGCAGCAACTCCCACTCACCTGTTTCTTGATAGTGCCCCATCCACGTTTATCTTATTTGAGCCAGGCGGAGGTGGAATCCAGCGCCGTTGTTGCTCCCTTGCCGCCTGAACTTGTACCCTAGGTTCACAAGCGATAGCTTGATGTAGCTCTTGAAGATAAGAGTCTACAAAGGAAACAGTCTGGTGTGGGTTTTGAAAAAAAGATTCATAAATCGCCTTGCGCCTTGCGTACCACACGGCCCATAATGTGACACTCATCCTCGAGAAGCTCGCATGGTCTAGTGCCTCATAAAGCTCAAAAAGCCAATTCTTCGCACGTGGCTCTGTACTCGCCGTCATCTTGGACACAATGTTTTCATCTGTTAATGCCCAAACACATCTCGACATCGTGCAAGACGGGAGCGCATGTCTCCAAGAATCTTGGCAGCCACATAGAGGGCAGGTACTTTGAGTTGTCATATTCCGTCTCTGAAGAACGTCCGTAGTTGGTATGGAATGATGTGCTAGACGCCACAGAAAAATTCTCACCTTTGATGGCACTTTCAGTTTCCATAGATTGCTCCATGCATCCTCTTCTCTGGAGTTAGACGATGCACCTCCTCTTCCTTCTAACCAAGCTTCTCTCTGTAACTTTGTTGTGACAAGTAATTTGTACGCCAAGCTTACCGTGAACTTACCCTTCCTGTCAGGATTCCAAGCCCAGAAGTCCTCAATGTTGCGGGTGCACACCGGCATCTTCAAAATAGCCTCAGCATCAAAGGGCAGAAAAACTGAGCGTATTAGGGGTTCATTCCATGCCGCCGTAGCTGGGTGCAATAGGTCAGATACTCTCTCCGGCGGTGTCTGAACCAGCGACGTGATCGGCCTCGGTGTTGTTTCTTTGGGTATCCAATTGTCCTCCCAAATATTAGTGGATCGTCCGTTCCCAATCCTTCTGATAACTCCTTGCTGCAACACATCCCGGCCCTCAAGGATAGCCCGCCAGATCTGTGATGGCCGAGACCCCAGCTCCGCCTCAAGGATTGTAGAGCTTGGGAAATACGATGCCTTCAAAACTTCTGCACTTAAAGTTTCTGGATTCTGAAGGATTCTCCACGCTTGCCTAGGAAGTAGTGCTAGATCGAATAGTTCAAGATCTCTGAAGCCTAAACCTCCCAAGAATTTTGGCCTGGTCATTACATCCCATGATACCCATGCTGGTTTGCGTTCGCCTTGTTTGCAGCCCCACCAAAACTTCCTGATGATAGTTTTTATATGATCACAAAGGCCTCTTGGCAATTTGAAACAAGACATTGAAAATACCGGAATAGCTTGTGCTACAGATTTTATAAGCACCTCCTTTCCTCCTGCCGACAAGCACTTGCTCATCCAACCCTTCACCTTATTCCAAACCCGATCACTCAAATATTTGAAAGTCCCCTTTTTGGAGTGCCCCACATCAGATGGCATACCCAGATATTTGGCATTAAGTGATTCATTGGGAACTTGCAAAAAACCCTTCACAGCATTTCGAACTATTTCTGAACATCCTCTACTGAAGAAGATCGATGACTTGTCCCTGTTAATTCTCTGTCCCGATGCCAAACAATATTTATCCAATAGGTTTGAAACCGACTCCGCTCCGTTGATACTTGCCCTGAAAAACAGCAGGCTGTCATCCGCGAATAAAAGGTGGTTCACCGGCGGAGCCGATGATGCCACCTTAATGCCGCTGAGCTGGGATGACTCGTTCTGAGATTTTAATAGGCAAGAAAGGCCCTCTGCTGCCAACAAGAAAAGATACGGTGAAATCGGATCTCCCTGATGAATACCACGGGTAGGCTTAAACACCTCTGACTTAACCCCATTAAATATCACTGAAAAAGATACTGAACTTATCATGCTCATGATAATCGTTACCCACTGTGGAGCAAAACCTAGTTTCTCCATAATAGCACGTATGGTAAGTCCACTCCACCCTGTCATAAGCTTTCATCATATCTAGTTTTAACGCGCAATAGCTATTAGCTTTGGATCTGTTCCTCTTCATAAAGTGAAGGCATTCATAGGCTGAAATTATGTTATCTGTGATTAGCCTTCCAGGCACAAACGCAGATTGCTAGTCTAGCATGGGTACGATGGTGGTGGCACGGGAGAGCCTAGCGGCGGTGTTGTTGGGCTTGAGGTGGGCTTCTGGTCCTTATAGCCCTCGCAGGAGCAAGCGAACTTGCAGGAGTCGAACACCATGCGAAAGTCTGGGATGGGCGCGGTGGCTGGGTTTGGTGCAGAAGCAGGCGTAGTCGACGAGGTACACGGGGCGCGGCCAAGTCATCAAGTATAGAGTGGCCACGTCGGCCGAGAGAAACGCGACCAGGAAGACATGCACGAGCCATAGGGCATGTAGCCTGGCGAGAAGCTCCAAGGGCTTGACGGGCACCTCTCCGTAGCCTTGCCGACGCGTATTTGACGAGGAGGGCCTGATGACCCACAAGTATAGAGGATCAATCATCGTCCTTTCGGTAAGTAAGAGTATCAAACCCAACGAGGAACAAAAAGAATTGATAGGCGGTTTTCAGCAAGGATTCCACTGCAAATGTTGTAAGATGGTTTTGATAGATAGTTTGATAGCAAGATAATTTATAACAAGGTAACAAGTAACAAGGTAGCAAGATACAGAAAGTGGCCCAATCCTTAATTGTGCTAAGGACAAGCTAGTGATATTTCTTATAGTGATTAAAACACTCTTAAGGACACACGGGAATATCACCAAGTTACATTCACCATGATTCATGGACTTACATTCATTGCATTGATAAGTGTTATGTGGGTGGACCGGAGCTAAGATATTGTCCTAACTTGAACATATACCTACTTATAATTATACTCTCTATGCAAGCATCCACAGCTACAAGAGGTAATTAAGATTAATCTAACGATAACATTAAAGAGTTGGATCCAAAACAACCCCTTGCGGAATAATTCACAAATCAGGGTTTAGGTTTCTATCACTCCCGCAAACCATGATCCACAAACTAATTTCACAATGCAATCCCCAAGGACCAAAGATGGCGAATGTCATGTAGTCGACATTTACATGACACCACTAGAGGAAGAACAACACAACATAATATCAAAACATTGAACGATCATCAACTTCACATGAGTAACAAGACTTCTCTCATGTCTGCAAGAACTAATGGAACTACTCACAACTCATCATATTGATCATGATCAGTGGTTACAAATATATGATTGCCAATCTAAAAATAATA